TTTGTTCTGATTTCTGATCTAGATTCTGTTATGATATCTAATCTGAATTCTATTTGATTTCTGATATCTCGTTTACTGACGAAAAAATGTTTTATTTGGGGGTTTGTTAGAGGAAGTATTTTGTAGGTTCCTCGCTTTGTGCTCAGGGCCTTACTGGTTGTGTGGGTTAGGTGTATGGTTCTAGGGAACTTACACAAACATATTGTGAAAGGATGGGGGTAGTGTTAAGTTTTTAAAAATATATTTTTTTTACAAATCAATATCTTTTCACTGGTTTTATGGGAACACACTAGATAACCTATTTTGATCTCCTAAACCCAGTCATCCAAATATTTCCCTATGAACTGAAAGCTTACTGTCTGTTACCACCTGAGATATCAGTGGGACCTCAACTCAATCTAAAATCTGTAGATGTATGAACCAATAAGGAAATATGCTTATCTATTATCTACACGTTCTTCAATATCATCTGATAGTTCTATATTATTGAGCTTTCCAAAGCTCACTCTGTTACTCACCATTACAGGTTAAAAGAATCGTACCAGTGCAACTATCGACATTAGTATAGGACTTCCTCCAACGTTGTTTGTAAAGTATGGTACATGTGATTAGGGGGCATGTAGGTTGTATTTTGTTTTATATACGAGTCTGAAAATCTGTTTTATTTCTGAATACTGATAAATTTTATTTTGTATTCATAAATCATTTTATGACTTTACATGTTTAATAAAAGTTTTTAATTTTCCGAGATTTTTACAGTAGGTCGCTACGGTGGCCTTAATGTGACACCTCAGATCGGATCGGGTTAACCATATCGATCTGAGGGGTTACATATTTTGTTTCAGTTGTGGAGAGCAATTATCTTCTGTAGTTGAGAAACCCAACTCACTGCGGTACCTCCTAGAGTAGACATACCCTGTAGTACTTCTTTTGATGTCAGCATTTTCGGCTAAGTCAGCATCTACGTAGCCTGTCAGTATCGTATCTCCACCTTTGAAACAAAGTGCTTTGTTTGTGGTACCCCATATATCTGAGGATACATTTGACTGTTTCCCAGTGTACATTGCCCGGATTATTCATGTACCTGCTAACAGCTCCCACTGCTTGAGCAATATCTGGTCTAGTATAAATCATGGCATACATCAGACTTCCAATTGCTGAGGCATACGACACCTTTACCATGCGTGCACGTTCTTTCTCGTCTTTGGTGATTTTTCTTTGGAGAGTCTAAATGAACACCTAAAGGTGTACTTATGGTTTAGCATCTTGCATTTTGAATCTGGAGTACTTTATGATGTAATCAGCCTGTAATAACATCAAATCTCCGAATTTGTGTCTCTCTTAATCCTCATCCCAAGAATCTGCTTTGTAGTGCCCAGATCTTTCATTGCAAATTGCTTCGACAATTTCTGCTTCAAGTTTATAATCTCTTGCATGTCTGAACCTGCAACAAGCATGTCATCAATGTACAACAATAAAATAATGAAGCTGTTGTAGAACTTCTTGATGTAGAAACAATGATCTGCTTGGCATATGGTAAAACAACTGCTACCCATGAAGTTATCAAACTTCTTGTACTACTGTCTAGGAGCTTGTTTTAAACTATACAAACTCTTCTTCAACCTGCATACCAAGTTTTTCTTATCTGCCTCTATGAAGCCTTCTGGTTGCCTCATATAGATTTCTTCCTCCAAATCACCATGAAGGAAAATTGTCTTTACATCTAACTGATCAGATGTAGATTCTCTGCAGCTACAATTTTTAACATCAGTCTGATTGTAGACAACTTCACGACTGGAGAGAAATTTCACTGTAATCAATACCTTTTTTTGTTGAAAACCTTTGACAACCAATCTTGTTTTGCAGAGTTTTCTCCCATTGTGCTCTTCTTTGATCCTGTAAACTCACTTTTTATGGCGCTTTCTGCCTAGTGGTAATTCAGCTAATTCCCATGTCTGATTTGACATAAGCGAGTCCATCTCATCTTTCATGGAAGACTCTCACTTGACTGAATCCTCCACCTGCATTGCTTCATCATAGCACTTTGGTTCACCATTATCAGTCAGCAACAAGTAGTACAAAGAAGGCGAATATGCTAGGTTGGTTTAGGAATTCTGGAGGAACGCCTCAGTTTTGGTGTGCCTGGTTCTTCTTGAACTGGTTCAGGAATGATCTGAACATCATTTCCAGAAATCTCCTCAAACTCAGTAAATTCCTTTGTTTCAACTTCGGTATTGGAGCTACTTGATTCTATGGTTGACATGTCTTTGTACATCACATTTTAAATGAGAATGACATCTCTCCTTCTGATGATCTTTCGATTTTCATAGTCCCAAAAACGGTAACCAAACTCATCACCACCATAACCAACAAAGACACATTTGTTGGACTTAGCATCAAATTTACTTTTTTCAGCAGAATTTATGTGTACATAAGAAATATAACCAAACACTCTTAAGTGTGACAGGTTTATTTCTTTTATCCTCCAAACTTCCTCTGATATTCTACCATCCAAGGGAACTGAGGGCCCACAGTTGATCAGGTAAGTTGCAGTGTTGATAGCTTCAGCCCATAGTAATTTGGGCAAGCTGACATGTATCTTCATTCTTCTGACACGTTCATTCAGAGTTCTGTTCATGCGCTCTACTACGCCATTCTGCTGCGGTGTCATGGGAACTATTGTCTCTATCTTGATCTCATTGTTTGCGTGAAATTCTCTGAATCTACTATTTCTATACTCTCCACCATTATCAGACCTCAACCGCTTGACTTTCAAACCAATCTCATTTTCCACCATGACCTTCTATTTTCTGAAGGTATCAAAGACTTCTGATTTTTTTCTTCAGAAAATAAACCCACACCTTCCTTGTAGAATCATCGATGAAGGTGACATATTATAGTGAGTCTGCAAGAGATGGAACTGGAGATGGTCCTCATACATCAGTATGAACCAACTCTAACTTTTCGACCTTGGGTGTCTTGTCAATCTGTACAAAACTGACTTTTTTTGTTTGCCAAAGATACAATCCTCACATAGTCTGACATCTATACTCTTTAGATCCGCCAGCTTCCCTTTTGACAAAAGTGTCTTCATCCCTTTCTCGCTCATATGGCCAAGCCTTTGGTGTTATAGGTTTGATTTTCCATCAGCAACCGCTAATGTAATGGTATTCTCCAAGTTTGAGGTTACATAGAGAGTACCAGTCTTCTTACCACGAGCAATGACAAGTGCTCATTTGGTAATCTTCCATTCACAACCTGAAAAGGTTGTACAATACCCTTCTCCATCAAGCTGTCCTACAGAAATCAAATTTCTTTTGAGGCCATGAATATGTCTAACTCTTTTCAGATTCCAGGTGGTCTGGTTTGGAAACTTTAATCGGATGTCTCCTTTTCTGACGATCTTCAAGGTTTCATCATCAAATAAATGAGTTTCCCAAAATCATCACTGACATAGTTCTTCATGATTTCGTGGCATGGGGTTGCGTGGAAAGATGCCTCTGAATCCAAGATCCATGATTCAATCGGACTGTTGACGCTTAGAATCATGGCATCACTTATTTCCTCTGTCATGTTGGCAGATTCCTGTACGTCAATATCTTTCTTCGGTGCTCGATAATCTCTTTTAAAGTGACCCTTCTTGCCGCAATTATAATAGTTAAAATCTTTCTTTATCATTCTGATTTTACCCTTCTAGATTTTGATCTGCCACGATTTGGATTTCTTTCTGAAGTTCTCCCTCTAGACTCCGCGTGCAAGGCTGAGGAGCATGATGCTTCACCCGATTCTCTCCGTCGAATTTCTTCACTCAATACCAGATCCTGAACATCGTCAAATTTCAATTTATTATTTCCCCGATGAGCTGTTGACTGCTAACAGTAGCATTACAACTGTCTGGTAGAGATGATAAGAGAATTAAAGCTCGAACTTCATTATCGAAATCAATTTCCACGGAACTCAACTGGGTTGTGATTGTGTTGAGTTCATTTAAGTGTTGAGCCACTGATGCCCTTTTCGCCATCCGTAAATTGAATAATCATCTCATCAAGTGAACTTTGTTTGAGGTCGATGGCTTCATACATACTGGAGAGAGCCGCCATAAGACTCGCCGTGATCTTTTCCTTTACTATGTTAAAAGTAACATTGTGGGATAACGTCAGTCGGATAACTCTGAGGGCTTGTCTGTCGAGAATAGCCTAGTCTTCATCCTTCATGCCTTCTGGTTGCTTTCATGAGAGAGGTTGATATAGTTTTTTTGGTACAGAAAATCTTCAATCTGCATCTTCCAAAAGCCAAAGTCCGCACTATCAAACTTCTTAATTTTTACCTTTTCTTCGTCTGCAACCATCGCTTCCACTCGAATCTGGCTTCTTTTGGATCGTTTCTGACAATTCATGCGAACCACCGTGTATTAGAACACCTCCGTCGACAAACTCGTATCGCCGACCAAATTTTATTATTCACGAAATTTACTATTCACATGAACAGTAACATCACAGAAAAATGGACAAAATTCACCACCAAAAGCTCTGATACCAGTTGTTGGAAAATTAAATGAGTAATTTCCTTATAACCAGATTAATGAGAATACAAAATAAAAGCGGAATAATAACACCCAAAATTAATAACGGAGTTCGGCCAATTATATACGTCACCAGACTGCTGCAGATATTTACTAAAGGGATAAAATTTACAGGTGTTTATAAAAAACACTCATAACTCACAACCCAATTTCACCCTGAAAATTGCTCTCAAGAAAAAAATTCTCTAATTTCTTTAGTATTGGGAGAGAGCTAGAATGATTTTGGGATGATTTTGAAGCTAAATGGGTTAGTGTATTTATAGTTGAAGCTTAAAGACTAATCTTGTAAATACTCTAAAGTACAAGAATTAAATTTGGTAATTTTTCCTTGCCAATTTTCCACCATTTCAGCTGCCAACTTTCAAGCAGAAATTGCCACAAAGTATATAATCTATGTCCATGGCTTTGATTTTTGTAGGCATGATGCTGTTGTTGCCAATACCTTGTCACCGGTACTTGGTTGTTCATTTTTCTATGTTGTGCTGGATACTCATGAGCTTTCAACTATAACATGTTGAAGTAAGTGTCCTTGGACTTGGTTCTTTGTTTCTACCAGGAAATTGTTGAATCTCTTGGGGTCTTTATTGTTTCTTTCGACATGCCCGGTTATGGAGAGAGTGACCCTAATCCCAAATGAACAGTTCGGAGCTTGCTGATCAATTAGGATTAGGATCCAAGTGTTATGTAATCGGATTTTCTATGGGGGCAAGTTATTTGTGCTGCCTCAAGTACATCCCTCAAAGGTATTGTTTTTTTCTAAAGTCTAAACTACTCGAATGCAAGAGAAAGAAATGTACAGCTGTTGGCATACTGCCTCGCTTCGTTTCTTATTTTTTTAACGAGAAGGATATTTGAAACTCCAATACGTTAGCTGGGCAGCATTGTTAGCTCCAGTTATTAACTACTGGTGGCCTGGCTTTCCTTCAAACTTATCTACGGAAGCATATTACCAACAGTTGCCCAACGACCAGTGGGCACTTCGAGTGTCTCATTATGCTCCCTGGCTTACTTACTGGTGGAACACTCAAAAATGGTTCCCAGGTTCTAGTGCTATCACTCACAGTGCTGATATTTTCTAGTGAGGACAAAAACTCTTGCCTGAGATAATCTCTGCAGCTTCGAACCACATGGTATGTGCTTGTTTCTGCCTCGAAGTTGCTTGCACTTTATTTTCTTCTCTATAATCTTCGCAGTTGGTTATCGTTCGCTTCACATTTTGTTGGCTTTTGATTGGTATTTGAGATGTGATTAGTTGTGTTTGTGGATTGTGGTGGTTCAGTAATTGGAATCTGTTGGCATTATCATCATACTTTGTCTTGTCGTCCTCAGGCACTAATAGACAGCAAGGCGAATACGAGTCTGTGCATCGGGACCTGATAATTGGATTTGGAACATGGGAATTCTCTCCCATGGATCTGGAAAATCCATTTCCGAATAACGAGGGCTCGGTGCACCTGTGGCATGGAGATGAGGATCTGCTTGTGCTGGTTAGTCTGCAGCGCTACATTGCTCAACAACTACCATGGATTCAATACCATGAACTACGCGGTGCGGGACATATAATTCCGCATGCTCCCTGGATGTCGGATAACATAGTTAAGGCACTTTTGGTCGGAGAGAATAGGCTACATTTATGTGGATTTGCCTGTACCCCTTTAATGGTTATAACCAACATTGATACTGCAAACTTCTCTATGGATTGAATCACAAAGGGGTTTCCCCCCCTTTACCTCACAAGTTACTAAGCTGTTCTTGAAATCATTCAAATTATTATCTTAAAGATATTTATTAATAGGAATGTAAAAAACTGACCCAACCTGCAAAACTAACTGAAACCGACTTGAGTTAAAATTGTTTGAGACCCGAGATGGTGATGATCCGAAATCGATTCGAGTCCGAATTGGTGTTGACCTGAACCCGAGTTAGACCTGAAAATTTACGACCTGCACCCGATCTGCACCCGACCTGAGAACGACCCTAACTCGAATTCGACCTGATAATGTGACAACCGAACCCGACTACATCTGACCTGATATGAACCCGAACCCGAGATAACCTAACAAATAACTGATATTACTCGATATGTTATCAACCTGACCTGTTATAAACCCGATCTGTTACTGACTCAACCTGTAAATGATTCGACGTTATTAAACTGAATTGATATTTATCTGACTTGATATTTACCTGAATTGTAAGTTATAATGATAAAGTTAAAAAATTATAATTATCTAATATTACAATATGACATAATATTTCTTCACAATTTACAATGCAAGATTAACTATGATAATTGAATTAATGTATTTACTTTTTATACTTATAAATTGTAACCTATAAATATATTCAAAAAATTATTAAATTAATGAGTTGATATTAATAATAAATATAAAATAAATTAGTAATTATCATCATTACATTACAAAATTTACTTCAAATTACTAATTTGACTTTATATATTTATTATGATAATAATATTAAAAATTAAATTATGGATATTAAATTAATTTTATAAAATGATTTCTGAATCATTTTTATGTAATAATTAATAACTTAAATATAAGTTATCTTTAATTTTTAATTTACATATTAAACATGATTATAATTATTGATAATATTAGAATATGAGATTAAAAATTTAATAACTTCATAAATATTGAAACTAACAAAATGTATAGATGTACAAATTAAATTATTACAACTCAATACAACACAATTACAATTAAATGAAGTAAATAAATTTACGTTGAAATTTAAGCTCTCATATCTTATAACAAAAGTTTTACAAGGATAAAAGACCGACTTTGCTACCAAATTTCTTCATCGAGCTTTTTTTTTATCTCAAATTTATCTAAATGTTGCCAACATGATTAAATTATGGGCATTTTTTAGCTTGAAAAGCCAAAATAACACCAATATAATTTAACCATGGGTAACTAATTAGATAAGAATTTACAACAGTTGAGTTCTATTAGACCACAACAACAATTTACAAGGCAACAATCACCAACAGTAGTCCACCCATTCATACCAATCCAATCAATGGTAAAGCCAAGGGGAATATGATGACCAACAATGCCAAACATTTCCAACTTTACCAAACCTACAGAAGTTAAAACAATGGTAAAGCATACATTTATATGCTTGTTGAAATTTATGAAAATTTAATAAAAAAACAGCAAATGTAAAATCAGTAGCATACTTGCTGAAATTCATGAAAATTAAAGAAAAAACAGTAAATGTAAAAGCAGTAGCACCCTACAATAAAATTATTTTAAGTATTAATGAAAATTAAGAAATAAACACAATAAAGAAATTACCATAAAAGGGAATAATCAAGAAAGAATTATTCACAAATTCATTCAAATGTGCTTGTTGTAAATGTAAAAGCAGTAGCACCCTACAAAAGAAAAAAATCATTAATAAACAATTTAAATGAAATAAACATAAGAAAAATAAAGAAAATCAATATTTACCTTTAAAGGGAAGAATCAGTAGCTACAGTAAGATACTCTTCATCCCTTTCTTCTGGTTCAAAACCATACAACCAATTTCGAGCTGTTACAAAAATCTCAACATTTTTAGGTAAAAGTTTGGCTCTCAACTTGTTCAAAATACGACCCCCATGCTAAAGGAAGATTCAGAAGCAACTGAAGTAATTGGAATGGCCAATATATCTCTCGCCATGCGAGAGAGTATGTTGAGTTAATCGAATGACGAAATTGGCCAAGAGGGGGGTGAATTGGCAATAAAAAATTTTGTGGAAGCTTTTGCAGAAAATTGAAAATAATTGCACAGCGATTTACAGTGGTTCGACTTTCTCAAACAAAGTCTACGTCCACTACCTTAGCTATCCACACTAAGGATTTTCCAACAAATTCACTAATTTGTTCTTTCTTTTGAGGCCAAAGAGATAACCTTACAATTCCCTCAAGAGTATACCCCAACTCTTGAGAACACTCTTTTCTCAAATAGAAGATTACAAATTTGCAAACTTACAAGAAAACCTCACAAGGTAAGATGTTTGCACAATTCTAGAACAAAGAAAAGAACTCAAAGATGAATACAATTGAGCACAAAAGTGTTCTTGAAAGCAAAATGAATATTGAATGAAAATGGGCTTTGAAATGCTCAAACTTGAGGTTTGATGCTTTCTCTTTGATTCTCTCTTGATTCTATTTGCTTGATGTTTCTTGTTATTGATCAATGGCTTCTAAGCTTGCTTAAATACACCTTGGATCACTTCTGAACGTTGGGGATAATTAGAGAAGATATTATAGCCGTTTTAGTGTGAAAACATTTAATAAAACAGCTTGGAGCGTGGGGGAATCGGTTCCCTCTCATAGGAATCGGTTCCCTAAGTGTAAAATTCAAATATTTCGACCGTTGAATCAGGGGGGAATCGGTACCCCCTTGGGGGGAATCGGTTCCCTCCGAGCATTCTGGAAATCTCGGAGCCAAACCATTCAGGGGGGAATCGGTTCCTCCTATGGGGGGAATCGGTTCCCTCTGAGCAATCTGGAATTTTTGGCTTTGAATAGGTTCGAAATACTTTGTAAAATTATTTTGAAATTGTTTTATGATTAAAACTTAATTTTACACTTAAGTAAGGATCAAAAATGATTTTTGAAATATTGGAGTAATGTTTTGATATTCGAATAGTTATATCGAATATACTTAGAAAATCATTTGGAAAATCTTAAAATCCATTTAACTTAATTTGTTATATCGAAATATTAAAATGTTTCAACAATCTCCCCCTTTTTGATATAACAAAACATTTTAGTAATTTTAAGATTTTTGAAATCAAGTTTTGTTGAAATTACTCCCCCTTACTTTAACACTTCTTCAATTTATCATGTAAAACATTTAACACTTATTCTTCTCCCCCTTTTTGTTAAATCAAAAAGACATTGTAAAACAAGGTTATGAAAATCATTTAGCCAATTGATTTATTAATTATAAGCTTAAGCTGCTAAGATCACAATCAAAAGAGAGGTTAGCCATTAGTTTCATAAATCAATATTCATAATAATGTGATATGGCAAAATTGGTCATATTACTAATGATAATGTAAATGATGCAAAAATGAATAAAACACCAAATATAAGTTCACACCATTCATAAACCCAAAATCCAACAATCCACAAAATCAAACAATTCAAAATGTTGAAACAATATTCATTTGTTCAAAGTTTTAATGATAAACATAAAATTAAGCATCCGGATCGGTAGGAGGAAAACGGGCTCGCATAGCGGCCATCTCGTGTGTGAGTTCATTGATACGAGCGTTGGTTGATTCATTGTTTGCACGCATCTCCCGAAGAATCTCTAATTGTTGAGCTCCCATTGTGGATAAATGAGACTCTATAGAGGAAAAGCGCGAGTCCATGGTAGCGTATCGGAAATCGAATGTCTCCATAAAGGATTAAAAATATGGAGGCATTGGATGCGTTTGTTGTGCTTGCTCCTCGGGCTGCTCTTCGGGTTGTTCAGGTTCTTCTTCAGCTTCATCAATATCCCTCATTAATTGTTCAAACTCGGGATCTTCGTCAGCCTCGGGTGGAGCTTGTGAAGAACTAGCTCCCGGAGTAGAAGAACGAACCCATTCACCGGTTCTTTATCCTTTACCCATCCCGCTCTCGTTAAGGAAAGAAGATTTATTTGTTTCTTAAGAGGAAAAACGGCATCTAGACCGACTCTAAGCCCAGCTTTGGAAAACAGATTACTCAAAAAGCAACCGTAAACTAGAGATGAACAGTGTTTCTTGTTAGGAACAAGATTTACGGTTTCAACAATTTCAGCAAAAATAATCTGAGGTAGGTTAATTTTAATACGGTTTTCGAAACAATGTAACCACCAAAGATCCAAAGCTCTAAGAGTAGAATAACGACCTCCGGATGGTCGAAACCACCAAGAAATCATTAGATGAAGAAAACGCTCATGTAGGTCTAAGACACTCGCACTATCTCTTCTTTTATAACGAGAACCTAAAATTTGTTTTTCATTCGAGATACCATCATTATCTAATCCAAATGTATTGGCTATATATGCCGGGTCAATATATAAGAATTGTCCTAGGAGGTAGGAACGAATTCCTATGGTTTCGGTTTCAGCTTGGTTTTTAACACATACGGCATTAGAGTAGAATATACGAACAAGTTGATGGTAAACGATGGGTTCAAGATAAAATAGTTTATCAAATTTCCATTCTTGTAAAATGGGAAGATATTTAAAATCAATAGCTAACATAGCTTGACGAGAAGGAATACGTTCTTCCCGGATTTTGTAAGAATTGAAATATTGATAATACCAAAATCGGTGATTTCTAGACCCAGGATGATTAAAACACGAATTTTGAATAGTCAAGTTAGGATCAGTGGGATTGGGATTAGAAATTGGAATAGAAGGAGGATTTGGAGGTGGATTTTGTTGACGACTAGAACGACTAGATGAAGACCTAGGACGTTTAGGATTTGACATGGTGAAGGAAATCGGAATAGATAGAATAACCTGCAATTTTAAAACAAATGTATGCAACTCAATTAATCCCAAAACTCAATTGAGTCCTCAATATTTCAAGGTTCTCTAAATCAATCCGAATGGGCAAAGTTTTTGAGAAACTTTTAAAAATATGGTTTTGAGAAACAATATATATAGTTTCATAATAACAACATAATTTAATCAAAACACAATAATTTGA